AATATATATATATATATTCGTACAAAAATACGCATAAATCCCACACATAAATATACACATCATACACACAAATAGACACATAAGCATACACTAACACATATGTATTATCAACACATACAACTGTAATAATTACATGAACTAGTTACTGAATTTACATAGTGGACAATGGGTGTTCACACCCTTTTCAATTTTCCTGTGGCAGTATTTCAGAAACTTGTCTGAACACAAAGTAGGCAGGGACGTGCAAACACTTCTGGGAGAGGTACTGTGTCAAGGTTCGGTATTCATCAACAGCCTGGCAAAAATGAATTTAGTAATGTTTCTCATAAGGTGTTTGGGAGACAGTTATAAATGATGTAATGAGAAATACATTAGTTGAAAATGTGAGGAAACCATGAAGCTACCACTCCAGGACACCGTGGCCTGCAGAGTCCTTTGCAGAAGAGAAATGGGGTGTCAGGGACTGCGCCTCTAAGGAGATTAGGGAACAGAACTGCTCAAACCACCCACAGGCTACTCTGGCTGAACATGAAACACTTGGACCTCCGGCCAGCCACTGTCAACTGATCCATGTTCAAGGCTATTTGCAAAGAAAGACAGGGCACAAGCACTGCTAGAAATGCTGGGAAAACCCAGAAACTTGTCTGTCATGGTGGTATTAAGTTGTAATCCCAGAACTCAGGAGGATGAGGCAGCAAGATTCTGTGTTTAAAGCCAGCATGAGCTACACAACCAGTTCTAGACTACCTTTGACCAGATTCCAAGGGATAGACCCACACCCAAGAGTATTTTGAAAACACAGATTAAACAAGCAAAATAATAATAACAATAACAATAATAGTAATAGAGGACATGAAATTGGGGAGGGAGGAGATAGTGAGAGGAGAGGGGTCTGAAGTCTGAATATGATCAAAACACTGCACGAAATTCTCAAATAAAAAAGCAACTGAAAACTTCTAATATAGTCACAACAGGGAAGGCAAGACAAAGATGCTAACATGCCATGTCACAAGATGGAATACTATGGAGCAGGGAAAACCACAATGCTGAAAATTCCGTGTGAGAGAAGCAGGGGGCAAGACCCAAACTAATCGCACACATTTAAATACCATACCCCATAATGCTCCAGGGAACACATTCTAAATAGAAAAGTTCGAACCCTGGCCAGAGAACACTAGAAATTGTCAGACGCACTGCACAGGTACTATCTCAGTTACAGAGACAGCCTCTTTTTCATTCACTAAGTCTAACAATCACTGTGTGCGAGCCTCTCTTCTGGGCAGCGACCTGACAGGTGCACTCTAATGGAGGGGCAACAGAATGCACACTGGCTACTATCAAACACCTGCAAACTTAGGACGAACCCAGACCCAAGTTAGAGCTGGAGGCCCTGACTGATCCAGTCTCTACCTACTGCTCACAACTAAGTCAAACAAACTCGGAGGATGCACTGCCCGAGGTACCAAGCTTGAGCCCCGACTTTCACTTTGATGCACGCTCCATATCACTTACAGCAATGAGTGGGTTCCGGGCCAGCAGCTCCATGCCAGGGCTTGGGGGGATGCCAGCAGTTACCCAGCTCAGGTCAAGATTTTGACAGGCTCCCCCTGGTGTCTGGGAAACAGACTATGGAAGAGGCAGAGGCAGGAGAGCCCAGGGGAAGTTGCCCACACTAATGAGATCAGGAGCGGGGAGGGGATGGGATTCTGGGAATTTCTTAGGGAAGAGGCATGGCAGTTTGGATATGATGGGAGTGGGGGATAAGGTAGACATGCCGACTGGAGAGAAAGGAGTCACATTTACTGAGACTCCACCAGGTGCTGAGTCCCCTAGTCACCTGTGGAGGTGGGCAGCACCCAGCACCGAGGGAGGGAAGCCTAGCGAGAGCTTCAGGGAAGAAACCGAGAGCACCCACAGCCCAGCAGCTGCAGAAAGGGACGCAGGTGTACAGGGCAAGCGATGGAGGCGGGGCGGGGGCAGGATGGGGGGCGGGGACGCCTAGGAGTGGACACCGAAAACCGGTTTTGCAGGATGAGAGGAGGAAGGGCGTCTGCACCAGGACAGGAACAAAGGTCTCAGCATTACTTGGCCTCAAGAGGGCGGGGAGCAGGGAGCCTAACCCATGGGGATGAGGGCAAAGGGCCAGGGAGGACCCGCGCAGCGGCGGTGGAGGGAACCCGTGACCACGCGGTGGGGTAGATGAGACTCGAACCCGGGACCACGCGGTGGGGGAGAGGAGATTCGAACCCGGGACCATGTGGTGGGGTAGAGGAGACTCGAACCCGGGACCACGTGGTAGGGGAGGAGATTCGAACCCGGGACCACACAGTGGGAAAAAGGACACTCGAACCCGGGACCAGGCGGTGGGGAAGAGGAGATTCGAACCCGGGACTACGAGGTGGGGGAGGAGACGCGAATCCGGGACCACGCGGTGGGGGAAGAGTCGAACCCGGGACTACGCGGTGGGAGAGAGGAGACTCGCACCCGGTACCACGCGGTGGGGAAGATTCGAACCCGGGACCATGCCCGACTCAAACCCTCTGGCTGAGCAGCGACAAGCAGGCGGGATCAGTTTGCGCCGCCGCCGGAAGTCAACTCACCTGCACCCCTAGCAAGACCCGGAACGCGCTATACAAAGCGCATGCGCTAACGCCCGGCGTCTTTAGAAGGCAGTTCTAGGAGGTGGGGCCTGAGCCACGAAGCGGAAGCCGGAAAGGGGCCTCGCCGGAAGCCATGCCTGCAGGCTGCCCCGCCTGTGGGCCTGAGCGGAAGTGCTGCTGTGCGTCTCCCCCTCCCGGCGCCCCCGGAACAGCGCTCCACTCGCCACCGCAGTGGGCCTGTTCCGGCTCACTCTCCAGGGTCCCCAGATTTTCCAGCGCGTACAGCCCGGTTTCCCCGGGTGGACATCAGTGCTGTTTCCAGATTCGCGCCGGGCATAATGGTTCACACTCCCAGTACCTACACTCTCCATCCCAGTACTTCCGAGCCCCAAGCAGGAAGGTCTCCAGTTCTAGGCCGGCCTGGGCTGTACAGTGAACCTCCTTCTCTAAAAATAAGAAAAGTGTAACTCCTAACATTTTGTTAATCGGCCAGGGACTGCCTCGGACTGCAGCTGTCCGTCTTTTCACGTTAGACACCTCTAGTGCCTGCTGATGCCCATTTGCTCTGCATCCTCCTCGGGAGCACTTGCTTTCATGGTAGACCAAGGACGAAGTATGGCGTGGTTACTAAAGTAATGAAATTGGGCACTGTCGCTACTTACTGGCCTTTGGACTTCCTTACTCGTGAGGGCACAGATCCAAATCATTTGCCCACACTTTCATTGGGTTTTATTTTTGAGATGCTGAGTCCTTTATGCATTTGTGCTTTGAGGTTTTTTTGTTTTTCAGACAGGGTCTCCATGTAGCCCATGCTTGCCTCAAACTCACAGAGATTCACCTGCCTCTGCCTCCCCAGTGGTGGGATAAAAAGCGAGCACCACCACACCCTTTATATTTGAATGCTGCTCCTATGTTGAATCTATGCATTGTAATGGTCTCTATTGCTTGCCTTTTTTTTCTTGCATAATATGACTCTGCTTCACCTGAATTTATCTAATCATCCAGGTTCTTCAATATGCTTTAGTTTGGTTTTTAAATTTTTGCCTATGCAAAGATCACAAAAATGTTGGGCATTTTCAACTGGAAGTTTCGTCATTTTGCCTTTCCCATTTGAAACCTAGTTTGGGTACAGCAAGAGCTATATAGCCCCTGGGTAATAACTAGTCATCTTGGTATCTGGTCCAACAAATGTTTATAGTTCCGTTTTGGTTTTTGAAACAGCCTCACTATGTTACCCTGGCTGGCCTCTTAGGCCATCCTCTTGTCCCTGTAAGTGCTGGAATTACTGGTGAGCACCACCATACCTGGCTTATTGCTGAATGACTGAAAACAGTAAAAACAGCTGTATTCACAGTGAAAAGTATAGGAAGTTCTAGAGTCCATAAGTAAAAATTTATTGGACACATCCACATTCATTTGCTCACAAATTGTTTATAGCTGGGGTTTTTTTTGTTTGTTTGTTTGTTTGTTTTTTCAGGTCTTTTTTGAAACAGGGTCTCCCTGTAGCCCCAACGGGCCTGGAACTTGCTAAGATCCACCTGCCTCTGCCTCCCAAGTGCTGGGATTTAAGGCGTGTGCCACCACGCCCAGCTCAAATTGTTTATAGCTACTTTCATATTACAACTACTGTGTGACCAATTCATATCAATTGATGTGATGTGGTACAGTTTAAGATACTGGCTTTGGGGCTGGAGAGATGGCTCAGCAGTTAAGAGCACTGGCTGCTCTTAGAGGATGCAGATGTGATTCCCAGCACCCACATGGAAGCTAAAAACAGTTTGTAACTCCAGTTCCAGGGGAATCAGACACCCTCTTCTGACCTCTGCAGGTATTGCATAATATGGGTGCACTTACACTCATGTAGGGAATACACTCATACACAAAGATAATAAAATAATAATAAATAATATCTTCCCTTTATAGAAAAATATTGCTGACCTCTAGTATGATATATGACTACTGGGCTTCAACTATTTAAAACTTTTCCCCAAATCACAAGATGACAGTTTATACCACTAAGACAAAAAATAACAAATGTGGGTTCTCCAAGCATGGCTGCCAATTGTTCACTATGCTGGTCCAACTTCATGTCTCTTAGTTCTGGAGAGATGGAACACCTGCAATATTCTAAGGGCTAGTGACCCATCAGAAAGCAGAATGAGGTGTTTACAATTCAGCAGAGGAGAGAAGTAGAGACTTCATGTCAGGTGAGTTGACACCTTGGAGAGACAGCAGAGAAAGGGAATGGGGTGTGTGACAGAAGTAATTACAATTCTAAAACCAGATCAGGCAAGCCTCACTAAGACGGTGCTTAATGGCCTATGAAATGTGAGGGAATGAAGGCTCCCATAGAGGACAAGGAGGTAAAAGCATGCCTACTGTATCTAAGGAACGGCAGGAAAAGACAGACTGAAGGGATGGTGTGAGATGGGGTCAGGGTGTCAGAGAGGCATTAAAGCACGGTGCCATGCCAAAAGAGATGATGAGGAAAACTGTGGTAACCTGTGTAATTACTGAATGCATCTGGTGCCCCGCTCCCACACTATTCCCTGAGTATATTGCACATCAGCATCCCCATGTCTTCAGACTTGGTCCAACACTTCCTTTCACAGTACTTCTGGGTAAAAGCTTCATACTCCTCAGATGCACCTGTCCTCCTTCATAAGGTAACCAATCCAAGGAGAGGAATGTGTCTCAGCCCTGGAGTGAAGGCATCACACAGAAGAACAGCAACTGAGCCACTTTAGTGTGGGAGCCTCTTAAATTCTTACTATGTGTTTCTGCAGCATAACTTACTGGGCTTAAGCTAAACAAACTATTAGAATGGCTGTCCTCTTAGAGGAAATAAAATTGAAAAAAAAAAAAAAAGTAATACACCAAGAACTCATGGGGAGGCGGAGTAACAAGAACTCATTTGTTGCTGGTAGGAAAGCAAAGGCTGGTATGTGCTCTGGAAAGCGCTGCAGTTTGCCAGTTACTGCTGCATGGTCCAGACTGCACGGCCCAACAGTCACACTCAAGAGAAATGAAAACTGGCAGTACTGAACTTTATCAGGAATCTTCAAAGAAATCACCTACTCATGTTGAATAGAACAGCTAACAACAGGGCACCCTGCTTTTGCAGGTTTGAGATTAAGACCCAGGCAAAGAGGGCTTCATTGTCCCTCACCCCTCACAAGTCTGCCTCTCCTCGTGTCTTTGACATGCCTCACAGATGACCTGGCACTATAACACTCCAAGCCCCCTTCCTTTCCTTTCTGATGTTAAGTCTTCATTAATACAAAGAAGCATGTGGATCACTGGAAATTAGGAACACAGTGGCCATAATTATGTTTCCACAGTATGCATGTGGGACATGAGAACCTGTTCCAAGTATCACATTCTTGGGCCCTGGACATTCTTTACGATGCTGAATGATGCCTTCTTGTCCAACCAAGTAGGAGGAAACATCTTTTCTGCTATTTCTTTCCACTAATGGTTACTCATTTTTATTTTATGTGTCTGCGTGTATTACCTGCATGTAGGTAAGTGCACCTGTGTCAGGCAATGCCCGCAAAGATCAGAAAAGACTGTCGGATCCCCTGGGACTGGAGTTACAGACAGTTGTTAGCTGCCATGAGCATGCTGGGATTCGAACCCAGGTCTTCTGCAAAAACAACCAGTGTTCTTAACTGCTGAGCTATCTCTCCAGCCCCATACGATTTAATTTTCTAAACTAGTTCTAGAATTCAGGGCTGTGTGGATGTTCAAAGGACACAGGCCAACAGAACCAACAAAGCCTTTTCTTTGTACCCCCTTTTGTGGTGGGGGGCATGAGGTAAAAGGGGTTGGTTTATTAACTTGTTGGACAAAGGACCACACAGAGAACACTTCAAAGTAGGGAAAGTTAAAAGTTTGAAAGAACTAGAAAGGGCAGTATACTACCTATGTATGACAACAAATTACTGCAGGTATTGTGGCTTAAAGCCACACATTTGTTCTCTCACAGTTAGAACCCGTCACTTGCACTGGACTAATACAGACAAGGTTAGTCTCTTCTGGGGAGAACCCATCTCTTTGCCTTTTCTGGCTTCAAGGAGCCACTTACATTCCCTGGCTCATGGACCCTCCAGCCTTAAAACCAGGAATACTAAATTAAAGATTCATTAAAACTAGAAATAAGGGCAGGCATGGTGACATACACCTTCAGTCCCAAAAAGTAGAAAGCAGAAGGATCTCTGTGAATTCTAGGCCAGCCTGGTCTACACAGCCAGTTCCAGGCAAGCCAAGGCTACATATTGAGACCCTGCCTCAAAAATTAAAGTTAAAAATAAAACCAGGAATAATTGAGTGTTCATTCCTTGACTTTCTCTATGTCTTTTGTATCTGATACCAGCCAAAGTTCTCCATCTTTTTAAGAGTTGTGTGATTAAATTGGGTCCATCTTGATAACCCAGACCATTCTCCCCTCTCCAATCATTCAGGCTTCACACTGACAATTGCCTGGGCTGTGCTGGAATCCATTTAGAATGCACCCAACACAAATCTCAGTTTCCTCTTTGGTCAGAAGTGTTCATCCTCTATAATGTCATTATTTTCATTTCAGCAGTTATTTCTACTTATTCAAGAAAACCATTTAAAAAAAAAAAAGACTGAGGGGAAACAAGTCACACAGAACCCATGTGGACTCACTCCATTTCAGAGTTGAGCCATCTTCAACAAGGTGCTTTCACTCTGGCCATCACTCATCTGGGGATGACTTCCTGTCCCACAATCAGCAATGTGGAACCAAGAAGCAGGAATACTGCTGCCAGCACGACAATAATGGCATATTTTATCTAAAAGTAACAGACACCAACATGGAGTGTTCATTCCAGCCCTTAGGTAATCTGGACAGTCCACTAAGGGTTTGCATATGTCTTGTTGATACACATAACATAAAGACAATCTGTAAGTCACAAATGATTGTGTACATCCATGAGACCTTTTTTAAAAAAATATTCTGGCCGGGTGTGGTGGCGCATGCCTTTAGTCCCAGCACTTGAGAGGCAGAGGCAGGTGGACCTCTGTGAGTTTGAGGCCAGCCTGGTCTCCATAGTGAGTTCCAGGCCAGCTGGGGCTACAGGGATACCCTATCTCAAAAAGACAAAAACAAAACAAATTCTGAGATCAGTAACTGTTGTAGGGTCTATCTTTGTAGGATGCCTGACCTCATCTTTGGCTTCTATCTACTAAGTACCAATAGCTTTTCTACCACACTGTGTCATGACTGTGTCCTGGGAAATGTCTCCACATGTCCCGGACATCAAAACCATAACCAAATGAGAACCACTGCTTCTAGTAGAATGGTGAATTCATCCTGGAAAATTATGTAGCAGTGAAAATAAACTGTAACAATATGCAGCAACATGGATGAGCCTAATAGACATACTGCTGGGCGCTAAGTACACCTGCCTGCAGACATATGACCTGAGACCAGGAATATCCACAGATACTACTGCCCTTTTCCTTCTCTAGATTCCAAGTCACACAGGAAACACCCAAGAAATACTCTGGAGGGGAATGAACTTCATAGGCTGAATAAACTCATATGACATTTCTACTTTCTACCTGGGAAGAAGTCCATGCAACAAGCACAGAAAGGCATGGGTGAGGCACAATACACTCTTTCCCAAGAATATG